CCCCAAAACCCCAAAACCCCGAGAAACATATATTTTGCATAAATTGAAGAAATCAAATTAAGTTAGTTATAGAATTATAATTTTTCAGCTAAAATAATTTCCAAATAATCATTTTCAATTTGATAGATAATCTAGGACTCTGTTTAATAAATTTGGTTTTTATCCATGACATTCAACTGAATCATAATAAGTTGAGCTTCTAGTATTGCAATATAATTCTTTTCGACAATTCTAATCGCATTTTTCAAGGTGAGTCTCAGGATCAGGACCATCTTAAGTAGATATCCTTGTATACTTAAGTGCTGTCTTTTCATCTTCCAGGATCCTATTTGATAGATCATCGAAACTTTAAGGACTTAAATCTTTCATTCCATAGAACTCAGTCATTTCATGATCTAAATACCACTTAGGATGCTTATCTTCAACTTTTAGAACATATGTGTAAATTTTCAAAGGCAACATTGTTTCTTCGTCCATCTCAAATACTCTAAATGATGGATTGTTATATCTCCAAGTTGTAAATGATCCAGTTAAAAATTGTGCTGCAATTGGCTTTTAATTGTCAATTGATCTTACTACATTATGCTTTTCTCTATGATCGTGGCCGAATGTCTAAAGCCTTATGATATGCTGAAATCTCTCCACTAATGCTTAATATCTTTTACTCCAGTCTCTAGTGCAAGTTATATCTGAAGGGGCAATATGAGCAATTAGTATAGCTAATTCACTTCTTTTCTCTATTTCCTACAGTCTCTCTTCAAGCCAATCTAGAGTCTTAAAAGCTGTCTCTTTTTAATTCCAGACATAAAAGTTCAAATTATAGCAAGCTTGAGTGTTTAAAGATATGATATTTACGTTCTCATAGGTTTATACTCCCTTTTTTAAACCTTTTTTAACACGTAGTTTTTAAACGTAGCTTCCAGTTTTAAAAAAGGTATCTTACTGAGACTCTTAGATAAATGGCTACCAAAGTTAAGCTAATACATCCATCATTAGATCCTCACTCTCTAAATTTTAGAGATTTGAGACCTAAAAATCATGATTTCCTATTGTAGGATAGATTGTGTAATTAGACATCTCATCTTTTAGAAAACAGCTGATCAACTCAATGAACTTAATCTTTTCTGTGTAGTCCTTCTCTTCCCACATATTATGAGGAACAGTATCTCCAGTCCAGACTATTGTATCTGGCTTTATATGTTTATTTACATATTCGCCCATTAAATTTACTAGATCCATTGGAATATCACATTTAAAGGCACCATACTTGCCAGCTCTATGCTTCTTTGTTTCTGGGAAGCCATGCTAAGCTCTACAGCAAGGTATTTATCTACAGTTTGTGGATGAATTCTCAGCATATTCTAGATCAACATGAATATCAGTCAATTGTAAAATCTTAATGACCTTCCTATCTGTTCCGTTCAACGACTAGTAGAGTTTATTCTAATAGTCATTGCTTTCTATTTCTTTAGGTTTGTTCCACTCTATATTAGTTAGAAATTCTTCATTCCAATCTGGCTATTATGTAAGCTAGCAAAAGTTAACAAACTTGGAACATGCGTAAAGTGGTTCTGTTGGTTTACCCTAGAGATTAATAAATAGCTCTTTTCCAGTATAATCAGCCATTCCTTAACAAAATTTTACATCGAACTTGAAAGCACAAACAAGAATGACAGCCTAGGTAATAAAATCTTGATTATTTTAGTTTGAAATTATTGCTCTCACTCCACCAGCAATGAAAAGACAAATATCGCACTCCAATGTTTATTTAAAGTCACCAATCTTATGCTTTACATTTTCAATTTAGGTCATATCTGGAGATATATTCTGGATTGTTTCATTAAAATCAGAAAAATAGCTTTGAATAGTATTGAGTTTCTGATTCTTGGCAGCTTCTGCTTTATTAATAATAAATCCTTGGGAAACTACTATAAATAGGAGTATTTCTTTCAAAAGCTTCATTAAATATATATTTTTTCTTATAATAAGTTCTTTTTATCCTCTTCTAAAATTTTATTCGATTTTGATTGTAAGGGGGTTTTGGGGTTTTGGGG